GGGGGCTGGACTCATTGATCTCTGATGTTTTTTCTGGCTCTGACATTTTCTGAATCTGTAATCCCCACAGCTGTCCTAGTATTCTGTAATGAAGAAACTGAGAAGAGAAAAATGACTTACTCAAGGTAACAGCACCAGGTAATGGAAGGTACAGGATTCGAACACCATCCTGGTGTTTCTGATGCCTGCTTTGGGAACCACAACTTCCTTTCCCTTCCTGTCCTCTAGAACACCTCTGTAGTGATGCATGGATCTCTTAGCTAAGTTGTACCCTGTCATCTGTCTGTTCTCACTCTTTCCCCTCTTTTGGCTGGGATTGTGTTTTCAAGTTTCCCTCATTATTATTGTTCTCTTCCTTCTCCTTAAAATAATTGCAACTTTTCAGAACAGGAATCTTACTTAATAATTTCTGGCTCTGTGTTTCCAGCTTTCAGAGGTCCTTTGGGAAAATCTGTAGATAGCTTTTGGTGTTTACAGTTCTTCTAGGTACAGCAGCACACACAAATATCCTATAGTATCTTTCTACATATCCCTTCCAGGAATTTAATGGAGATATGCCCTGCTTCCGCCTCTCCCCCCTCCAGACTAAACCTAGCACTGATATACTTGGCTTCCCACTAAACATGCCTTTGCTTCCAGACACATGACTGTCTATCATTTCTCTGGCTCTCATATCTAACTTGTGGTCTCTTACCTTTTTTGTGGTTCCCAGGGTGATGCTAAGATGACCATTGCATTAATCGTAGGAGGCAAGATGTCCCAAGATGCTGCGTGTGGGTAGCCTTCTAGACTGACATAGGCAGTCATGTTGCCCGTGCTAATGTCTTCAAAGTAACATCAGGAAAAGGCCCTTCAGTTTATGAGGGGGTGGGGGCTTGAATTATTGAAAAAGTCTTAGTTCTATTTATCACTTTTGCTTCCAGATTTCTCCCCTCCTTACTAGAGTCAGCTTAATGTCAGGAGCTCTTAACCTGGGATCCATGGACCCCTAAGTGATTCATGAATAGATTTCCTGGAGTCTGTGGATTTTAAAAATTATTCTGATAACTATTTTAATGAAATTGGTTTCCTGTGTAATCCTAGGCATTTTATTTTGTGCATTTAAAAACACTATTCTCAGAGGAGAACCACCACCAAGTTTCACCAGATTGCCGAAGTGGTCCATGATGTAAAAAGAGGTTAAGAACCCCATATCTAGTGGAAAAGACACAGAGAGTGCAGTTGAAAGGTCCTACTTCTAGTTCTGTCAATAGACATGTGAGCTTATTCAAGCCACCCCACCAATCTATGCCTCAGTTTCTTCATCTATAAAATGGAGATACCTGTTCTGCTTCTCAGGATTGTTAGTATAAAAGGAGGTAATATGCCTGGATATGGTTTGAAAAGTTAAGTACACCATACAAATATAATGTGGTATTATTATTCATTCTCTATTTCGGTGGCGGGGGGGAGACTGAAGGTAAAGGAGACTTTCTAAGGGATTATTACATCCTAATAGTTTTGAAAATTACTTGCTCTTTTGTTCTCTTTCTGCTCCACTGTTATGTTTTGAAAACAGCCCACATTCATTGCCTAACACAATACTTTGCAACATATGATAGGAGTTTGACATTTATTGAATGAATGAATTTATATAGTGCCATGGTTTACTTAATTTCCTTTGTCTTCTTGGCAGGGCTACCCTTTCAAACATTTTGTTTTGTATTTGTTTGCACTTTGCTTAAAGTGACTAGATTTTGAATATAGTAACATAAGATATGGTTGAAGGTGATTAGACTTTTTCCAAAGGCAGAGACAGAATGCAGGAAAAGACTAGTGTCTCAATGGCAGCATCATCCCTCTCAAACTTCCTTGCATTTAAGAACTTTCTACTTATTTGTATTTATTCTCTTTATAGTTATCCTATATATACTTATACTTTATTTAATTACTTTCTATTTATTTGTATTTATTATTTTCATATTATATATAGTCTGCATGTATATACTTATATCCACTAAGCTGTGTTTATTCTTTTTATATTTATTCTGCATATACTTGAAGCTTTAATAACTTAAAACCACACTCAACGCTTTTGGGACACCCTGTGTATGTCCTTGTCTCTCTGTAAACAAGAATTGTTTCGTTCCTTGTATTTGTATCCCCGGCATCTAGCAAAGTGCCTGCCTCATACCATTGTTGTTCAGTCATTTTTCAGTCATGTCTGACTCTTCATGACCCAATTTAGGGTTTTCTTGGCAGATACTAGAGTGTTTTGCCATTTCCTTCTTCAGCTCATTTTACAGATGAGGAAACTGAGGCAAATAGGGATAAGTGACTTGCTCAGGGTCATACGGCTAGTCGGTGTCTGAGACCAGATTTGAACTCAGAAAGATGAATCTTCCAGCCTTCAGGCCTGGTGCTCTATTCACTGCACTACCTAACTGCCCTATGTTACCTTATGCCCTATGTTATATAATCCCCATGCCCTTTAATATTATGGCACATAGTAGGTATGTAATAAATACTAGAATGATAATCTGGACCATTGGAATTACGTGTTGGGTGGGAGCAGAGCATAGCCTGGAGAAGACAATCAGGAGGAGCAAATAGGATCAGCTTCCTTGATCATAGATTTAGAAGTCAAAGGGAACGTCAAAGACCATTTAGTCCAGCCCTCTCATATTACAGTTGAGGAAATTGAATCCTAGGTTAAATGACTTGTCCAAGCTCACGTAGCTAATAAACATTGAAAGTGGGGTTTGAATTCAGGTCCTCTGACTCCACCAGAGCCTGTATTCTTATCATGGTCCCCCACTGCCATCTTGAAGACATTTTCTCCCCTTTGTATTTGTACTCCCAGCTTCTAGAATTTGCCTGGCACATAGTAGGTGCTTAATAAATCTTGGTTGATTGAGTTGAGACTCCCTTGCAAGGTGAAAATAGAGAGCATGAGAATTGTAACTTTTTAAAAATTTTCCATGTATCAGATCACCCAACCCAATACAGAATAACTGTAGAGAAAAAGGTAGATAGGTGTGTGCTCCTTTTTTCCAACACTGGCATTGTGAAGGGGTTCCATTTGCATGTCATGTTGGTAGGGCGTACAGGAAAGGAAAAGAGAGAAATGAAGAGAAGGGGAAGCAGGACCCAGTGAGGGGGACAAAGTGCCTCATTGAGGGAAATGGGAACATTGGGGATCTTCAAGGGAAACAAGGAATATTTAAAATTATTTTAATAATTGGGGGAAAATAAAATATTATATCTCAAAAAATATGCATAGTGAAGCAGAGGGAGAGACAGACAGAGGGCCAGATGATAGGGAGCCAATGTCTAGTAGAGTGATATTCCTAAAGTACAAATTTGATCATGTATATCCCCCCACTCAATAAACTCTAGTTTATTGTTATTATTATATTATGTTATATTATATTATATTATATTATATTATATTATATTATATTATATTATATTATATTATATTATATTATATTATATTATATTATATTATATTATATTATATTATATTATATTATATTATATTATATTATTATAATATTATTATATTATATATATAGATTATATTATAATATTATTTATTATATTATATTATATATATTATATATATATTATATGTCAACTCCAGGATCAGATATCCTCTATGTGGCATTCAAAGCCCCTCATGAGCCACCTCTCTCCCCACCTTTGCAATCTTCTTATACCCTATCACATACTCTGCAGTCTAGTGACACCGGTCTCTTTTCTGTTCCGCTAACATGACATTCCATCTTTTGACTCTGGGCATGTTCTATGGCTGTTCCCCATGCCTGGAACGTTCTCCCTCCTCATGCCATCTCCTGGCTTCCCTGGCTTCCTTCAAGTTCCACCTTCTACAGGAAGCCTTTCTTCATCTCCCTTAATTCTAGTGCCTTCCGTCTGGTGATTATTTCCGATTTCTCCTGCCTAGGTCTTTTTTGTACGTAGTTGTTTACATGTTGTCTCCTCTATTAGACTGTGAGCTCCTTGAGAGCAGGGTCTGTCTTTTACCTTTCTTTGTGTCCCCAGCACTTCAGCACAATCCTGGTACACAGTAATTCTTTTTTTTAAATTTTATTGTTAATTTATGGAACCTGCATAGTAGCTTCTTAATAGATGTTTACTGACTGACTGCCAGACTGTTCTGCTCAGTGTAAGACTTCTGAGTGCTATAATAAATATCTCCTTGAACTTACTCTAAAAAAAAACCCCCACAAAACTCAAAGCTAGGAAGCTGAGCTTTACACTCCGTTGGACTTTCCCCTTAGTGTAGTTGAATTAGTGTGGCTTTTTGAGGGCTGACTAGGTCCCAGCACAAGAGGGTGAGGGGGCAGAGTACACTCCTTCCCTCTCTGTCCGTCTGGAGCTCTTTGTCCATGGTGACTCATTAACCTGATTGATGATCCCTCTGAGAGAGAGTCTTCTTACAGTATAGCCCAGCCTGGGGGCCTTATGTGCTAGACTGTAAGCTCCACGAGGGCAGGGATGATGCCTTACACTTAATAAATACTTAATAGAATTGAACTGATAGTGTCTTGTCTAAACTTTGTATCTTCCCCCAGTGCCTAGCATGGTGCTCTGCACAAAGTAAATGTTTAATAAATATTGTTTGAATTAAACTGACCACATTTCTTTCCTTACTTCCCAACAGAAATCCATTTCTTAAAAAAATTTCTATTTTAGCAAAGCGTACCCAGCGTAGTGTATTTAAAATACCTTGAAAGATGCAATAATAGGGATAACTGTTAGAAACCTGTCAGATAGCTATCAAGTGAGGCACAAAACGGGGATATATATGCTCCCCAAAGGTGTTTGCCACTGCCATGGAGGATGGATGTTGGGTTCAGTCCAGATGGAAGAGGCATTGAAGTCCTCCAGATGCTACTGTTTGGATTGTACTATTTACGTCAAACGCTAGAATATTGCAAAGCTTCTTGTATGAGATCCATAATCACTAAACAGTTTTGGTCTTTGTACTCATACAGGAAAAATCAAAAGGATGAAGTAGGTCTGTTGTCTGTCCTGATGGTCGTACTAGGTTGGGTCAGCTGCCCATAGAGCTGGACAGATTCTCCGTATGAAAAACGAACTGGACCCAGAAATGAATAGAAAGAGGTAAATTGCATTTGAGATTATATAGTACTTTTAACAAACCCATGCTTCCCCTTGAAACAAAGGATGGCCTTAATACCAATATTGATAGCTAGATTGGCTTGGAGTCAGAAAGACCTGAGTTCACATCCAGCCTCAGATACTTACTAGCTGGGGTGACCCTGGGCAAGTCACTTGACCCTGTTTATCCCAGTTTCCTTCTACCTCCCAGGGTTGTGGTGAGGAGTCAACGAGATAATATTGGTAAGGCACTTAGCATAGTGTCTGGTACATAATAGACACTTAATAAATACCTATTTCTTTCCTTTCCTCTCCCAACATTCTGCTGATACTACATGGCTGATCTGCATTTCCAATTTAGTTGCTGAAACAAGATGTAAGTAACATGTGACAGTTCTTCAAGAGGTGTCATGAGGCAACATGTAATTGAATCCCAATTGCTAGTTTGAACAGTGAGGGCCATAGGAAGTCAGAAGAGGGAAAAGTGATTGGGAATTGAGGTAGACTCTGTGAAGAGTTAATGAAGGATGGATAGGACTTGGAGATGAGGTAGATGGTGGGGAGGGCATTCTGGATAGGAGGAACCATGGCAAACGAAGATATGTAGGTAGAAATGAGCCTGCTATGCTTAAGAGATCATGAGTAACTTGGGGTACACTTACGTAGGTTGAGGTGGATTCATATAAAGAAGAGAATATAGCTGAATAGCTTTTTACAAAAGCTGACATGAATATCTAGAACTTTTAGGTTTATAAAGCACTTTATATAATGAGCTTATTAGATCCTCAGTGCAACTCTATGAGATAGAGACTATAGTCTTTGTCTCTTAAGTTATCCAAGATTTAAACCTAGTCTCTCCTTTCTCCAGGCCCTGTCCTTTTTTTTTTCTACTGCAGTCAGCCAGTCAATAAACATTTATTAATACCTGCTGTGTGCCAGGCACTGTGCTAAATGCTGGGTGTATAAAAAGGGGCAGGTGATAGTTCCTATCCTTAAAGAGCTCACAGTCTAATGGGGGAGACATTACATATCTCGCACAGTAATAGGAATGTCCACTCAGCTATAAAACTTTGATTTTGTGTCTCTAATGCACTTATCATGTAATAGTGTATATTTTAGCTATCGATGTTGGCCTTACCCTTCTCCTAGATTACAAGCTTTTTGAGGGCATCCTTGTCTTATTTAAATGTTTTATATCTCCCAGTGCTGTGCAGTGTTGTGTATACAGTAGGTGCTTAATAAATGTTAAGTTTTATTGTAGTTGTATCTCTATAGGCCTTTATTTTGTTTGTCCCACCTGACATCCATTTTGGACCACACTCACCTTGAGGTTCAGTCCCATTGAATTGATCCAAGGCCTGGCTCAAATCCCAGGTTTAATTAGTTGGTTTGAATCATCAAGATATTTTCCTGGGTATGTGTAGAGCCTGAGTGGTGAATTCACCCTCCTTCAGGCCTTCCTTCTCTGGTTTGTTGCTGTCCTAATGCATGTAATGGACCCTTTGTTTTCTTTGACAGAAGGAATGTTAATTATTTTCAGCAGTCTAATTACTCAGTAATGAGAGGCTGTACTGAGATAACATCCCCTTTAATTACTCTTGCCTAAGTGCTATCTCAAGCCATATTTTGAGCAGGTCATTGAGACCAGGTGCCTGCCCATGGATGGGACTCCCCAAGGAGAGAGACTAGGCTGGGGGCCAGAACTGCATGGTTACTGAATGCTGTCTTGGTCCAGGATGAACCCAGCTTTTGCTGGCTTTTGGCATCCTTGAAATTAAAGATGATTGGGGTAACCAGGTGGTGCAGTGGATAGAGTATCGGCCCTGAAGTCGGGAGGACCCGAGTTCAAATCTGACCTCAGACCAAACACTTGACACTTACTAGCTGTGTGACCCGGGGCAATCACTTAACCCCAATTGCCTAAAAAAAAAAAAAAGAAATTAAGGATGATCAACAGAATTAAATCCAATCAGACAGCAAGAAATGATACGCCTTAAAGCCACTCACTCTCAACTCTTTTTTGATTCATTCTCTATTCTTTTTCTCTCACCCACAGGTGACTTTGGCCATTGACCTTCACTCCAATATCTGTATCTTGCCTTTCCACATTTTTTTTTCTTTTTTCAACTAAAAAGATGAATATAACCTTTGAGGAATCTCTCTGTGACTCAGTAGATAAGCCCTAGGGAGTTGCCTAGGGCATATAGAGATTAAGTGATTTGTGGAGGGTACCGTAGCTGCTATCTGAGATTTATATGAACTCAGGTTTTCCTGACCCCAAGTGCTGCACTCTGTCTATTAATACCACATTGCCTTCCTCATTAACCGTTCAAATAAAACAAATAAATAAAAAAATAAATAAAATTCTAAATAAGTTGTTTATAATTTGTTAAAGTAGATCAACTTGAATAAAATAATCGATACTATATTATTCACTTTTGTGTACCTTCTTCTTTTGTATATCAGATTTTATTGTTTGTTTGTTTTTTTTAATATAGTCCCAGTCAACGTGTGTGGTGTTGTGATTATACTTCCTTTGCTTGGCATTACCTTCGAAAAGCCTTTATTTCATTACATTCTTTGCATTTGTTATTTCTTATGGCTCATTAACATCCCATTACATTAATATGCCATTATATCATATAATATAACATTATTCAGTCATCCCCCAACTGTCATCTGTATAGGTTGTTTCTAGTTTTTCCATTATTGCAAATACAGCTGTTGCAAGTATTTTGGACAGAAAGATGTTTTTTTTTCCTACTTTTTTCTTTTGAATAATATCCTGAGGCTGTAGTCCTAGTAGTGGGATCATTGGGTCAAAAGGAATGATCAGTCTGGTCATTAAGATTGCTTAACAAAATGGATGCACCTTTTCACAGTCCTGCTGTCCCATATATAACGTACCTGTTTCCCTAATGCCCTGTTAGCATTGGGTTTAACCTTTGATTTTCCATTTTTCCTCAATTTGATGAATGAAAAGTAGTGTCTCACAGTTATTTTAATTTGCATTTTTTAGAGTTTGAGTTTTAGAGTTGGTTTTTTTTTTCCAGGTAATATTTACATTTTATTCTTTGCAAAAGTAGGCTTTCACCCTTTGATCCCTGGGGAATGGACACTTTCTAGTGTTCTAATGTCAAGATTCTCCTCCCAGGAGCCCCTTCATGGGCTAGTGGCAGTGATAGAACCTTCTTCTGCTTCAGCTATGGGTAGCCTTTGGAAAGTGCCCCTGCTGATGCCCCAGATGCTATGTTAGGAAGGCTGGGGTGGACGTGAGCTGTCTCTTGGGCATAGGATTATAGAAAGGATCTTAAAAGTTATTTAATCCTAGCTCCTCTCTTTACCTAAGAAGAAAATGAGACCCACAGAGGGTAAGTAAGTGATTTGCCCAAGAATACACATTTGGTAAGTAGCAGAACCAGCTTCAAACCCAAGTCCTTCCGACTCTAGATGCTGAGTTCCCAATTCAGGATAAAGGACTGCTTCATTTTTGTCTTTGTATTTTTGGAAGCTAGCATAGTGCCTGAAACATCATAGGTGTTTAATAATAAATGTTTGTTGGCTGATAGATTCCTTCCTCTATATCACACTTATTTCATACACATTTGTTACTGTATAAATCTGTGGTCAAGTGTAAATACAGTTGCTCTCTAAAAAAATCTCTTCCATTCCTACCATAGGCAATTAGTTCCTATCCACCACTCTTTGTATCACTTTTGTATTACCTTGACTCCCATGGTATATATAGCCAAGGAGTAGGACTTAAGGATTGATATCAATAGCTAGTAGCCAAGGTCCATTGAGAACCCCATTCCTTCTTGTGACCCTTTAACCATACACCTTTCTCCATACAGGAGGCATGCCCTTTCTGTGCCTGCAGATTACAATTGGCCACCTCAACAGTACCAGCTTTGCTGTTTTGCCTGTGGCACACACTGAATTGTCTAAGCCTGAAGATGGGAAAGAGGAAGGGCAGAGGTATCTTTGAAGTGGTGTTGGGGTCAATTTCCAAGGGGAAGAGAATGAAGAAAAAAGTTGGGGTGACCTTGTTTGTTTTTTACCTTCTGGGTAATACTTGTCTTTCCTATGATGCACTGAAGGTGCGTGGCCCTAGGCAAGTCGCTTTACCCCTTTTCAGCCTCAGCTTCCTCATCTGTAAAATGGGCTAATAATAGCCCCCACCTTAAGAGAGTTATTGTGAGGATAAAATAAAATAATGCGTATTAATAAAGCACTTTAAAAACCTCAAAGCAGTGTATAAATGTTACCCATTATTTTTTTTTAATCACTTGCATATCATGTTGCTTTTGACTCTTTTCATGGGCCCCATTTGCCTCCTAGTACATTTTTGGAGGAGGTTCGTGGTGTTTGGATGTCAGCAGTAATCAGAGAATTGTCAAGTTGGGAGGGACCTTCACAACACAGACACAAACTGGTTTGCTAGAAGACTTTCAGTGTGAAAGAACCCATTGCCTCCTGAGGAAGCCCATTTCACTTTTGGACAGCTATAATCACCGGGAGAGGTGCTAGGTGATGCAATGGATAGAATGCCTAGAGTCAGGAAGACCTGAGTTCAAATCCTCAGACACTTACTGGCTGTGTGACTCTGGGCGAGTCACTTAACCCTGTTTGCCTCAGTCTCCTCATCTGTAAAATGAGCTGGAGAAGGAAATGGCACTCCAATATCCTTTCCAAGAAAACCCCAAATGGGGTGATGAAGAGTCTGACACAGCTGAAATGACTGAAGAGTAGCACTTGCCATGAAGCGTTTGCTTAACTCAAGCTGAAATGGGTTTCTTTGCATCTTCCGTTCATTCCTCTGAGTGCTGCCCTCTGGGGCCAAGAGGAACATCGCAAATTTCCCTCCCGACATGACAGCCCTTCATTCTTGACAATGTCTGTCTTGTTTCCCATCAAGTCATCTGACCTCCGGGATAAATATTTCCCATTCCTCCAATGGATCCTCATATGCTAAAGTGTCTGCACCCCTGGCCATTCTCCTGGTCGCCTCCCTCTGGACACGTTTCAGCTTGTCAATATCCCTTCTAAAATTTGAGAACCAGGAGTTTAACGTGATACTCCACATGTGATCTAACCAGGTCGGAGTTGTTGCTGTTAATGTTCAGTCATTTCAGTCGTGTCTGACTCCATGATCCCATTTGGGGTTTTCTTGGCAAAGATACTGGAGTGGTTTGCCATTTCCTTCTCTAGCTCATTTTACAGATGAGGAAACTGAGGCAGACAGGGTTAAGTGATTTGCCCAGGATCACACAGGTAGTGTCTGAGGCCAGATTTGAACTGGGAAGATGAGTCTGAGTTCTTCCTGACTCCAGATCCTGTATCCCTGACCAGGTAAGAATATAGCTGTACTTACTGCCTACTAGATACACGTTGCTTCTCTAAATGTTGCCTAGGACTACATTCATTTGGCTACTGTACCACACGCAATTTTTAGTTTGCTAAAAACTCCAGACCTTTTTTTATAAAAAGGTGTAACTTTATCTAGCTCTACCTCCCCCATGCTCTACTCTTAAGGATGATTTTCTTAAACCTAGTTTCAGAACTTCACATTTACATGAAATTTAATCTCATTCAGTTTGGTCCCTTGTTCCAGATTGCTGAACCCTTTCCAGATCTTGACTTTGCCATGAGTATGTTAGCCATCCCTCCTGACTTTGTGTCATGTGCAAAATTTGAAAAGCATATCATTTGTCTGCTTGTCTGAGTCAAGACTTTTTAACCTGGGGTCCATGTCCTTGTTTGGTTTTTTAATTATGATAACTGTATTTCAAGATAATTGGTTTCCTTTGCAATCTTTTGTATATTTTATTGGATGTATTTAAAAACATCGTTCTGAGAATGGGTCCGTCGGCTTCACCAAATTGCTTCAGAGGTCCCTGGCATAGGCCTTGACAGAAATATGAAACAGCCCCGGGTCAAGCAGAGGTGCATGGCTGAGACATTCCACTTGCAACCACCCTCTAAATTTACATCAGCTTCTTAATGACTACTCTTTGAATCTGGTCAATCAACTTGCTCTGAATCTACTTAATCAAACTGTCGTCTAGCCCACATCCTGTCCTTCGGCAGATGTTGTCTTGAAATTTAGGTATACTAGATTTCCAGCAGCCCTCTCCCTTCTCTGTAAACCCAGGGATCTTGTCAAAAAGGAAACTGAGATGAGTTTAGCACAACCTGTTCTCTGATAAAGTCCTACTGCTCTTAGTGATTACCATTTCTCTTTTTGAAATGTTCACAAACAGTCTTATTTAATATTTAATAATGTGTTCTAAGATGTTTCTCGGGGTTGAGGTCAACCTCAAAAGCCTGTAACTTGCAAACTTCTTGGCCAGTTTTGAAAACCAGGCAAGATTTGCCTGTGCCCAGTCCTACAGCAGCCCTCCTGTCTTCCATGGTCTTTTAGAAAGGGCTTGATGGCAGCTGTTTGCCTATCCAAGGATATCTTTATTCTGGGCCTTATTACTTTATTTCAGTTCATCACGCAGTTAAGTACCTACTGTGTGCAAGGTACTATGCTAGATTTGCTGATACAGAGACAGATATGAAATGGGCCCTTCCCCCCAAAGGCCCCTTCCCTCGTAGTGAGGAGGCCTAATTCTGTTTGGCCTCAGAGGGCAGAGCTAGGAATAGGAGTGGAATTTTCAGAGAGATAAATTTCAGCTTAGGGAAAGGAAAACCTACCTAATAAATTGTCATTATTGTTTAGGCTTTTTTAGTTGTGTCCAGCTCTTCGTGACCCCTCTTGGGGCTTTCTTGGCAAATATACTGGAGTGGCTTGCCATTTCCTTCTCTAGCTTGTTTAACAGATGTGGATAATGAGGCAAACAGAGTTAAATGACTTGTCCATGATCACACAGCTGCTAAGTGGCTGAGGTGGGATTTGAACTTAGGTCTTCCTGACTCCAAGCCATTCGCTCTATCCACTTTACTCCCTAGCTGCCCACCTAAGTAGAACTCTATAAAGTGGAACTGGTTGCTTTGAGAGGTAGTAGCTTCCCTTCCCTTCCCCCACTTTCCTTCCAGGTGTCTTAAAGCGAAGTCAAGGGATATCGGGGATGTTGGAGAGGAGACGCCTGTTGAGGTGGGTTGTGCTAAGTGACCTCTAAGGGCCCTTCCAACTCTGACATGCTGTGATAGGAGGGGAAATCAGGACTTGAAGTAGAAGAGAGAGAGGCTAGCCAGGTAAGAAAGAGAAGCAGTTGGTTGCAAGAAATTTCATGGAGATAGCATCCATAGAAATTGGCAACTAACTGAGGAGAGAATGGGGAAAGTACTAGATTTGGAATCAGGGACTCTGGGTTAAATTCTACCTTTGTTACTTATAACCCGTGGGAACTTAGGTAATTCACAACTTGTCTGGGCCTCAATTTCCTCATCTGAAAAATGAGTAACTGAGTAGATATCCACAGTCCTTACAATTCTAAATCTATAATTGCTGCTGTTTGGTAGTTTTCACTACAGACTCTGTGGTTTTCTTGCAAAGATACTGGAATGGTTTGCCATTTCCTGCTCTAGCTCGTTTTACAGGTGAGGAAATGGAAGCGAACAGGATTAAGTGACTTATCCAGGGTCACACAGCTAGTTTCTAAGGCCAGATTTGAACTCAGGAAGATAAGTCTGAGTCTTCCTGACTCCAGGTACAGCACTCTGTCTGCTGCACTAACTAATTACCCCAAAAACTCTGATACCATTATGGAATATGGATGGGAGGTAAGAGAAGCATCAAAGATGAACTCTGAGATTATAAATCGGTGTAACTGAAGAGATTGTGGGACCCTCAAACTGTAGGATGTTTGTACTATTTGGAGGCAGCTGGGAGTTCTCTTACTGTCTCCTCACTTATCTTGGTTTGAAACTCCGTATTGAACATTTTTGTTTTATTCTTCCCAGTCCAAAGGTCGTTCTTCTTGGCAGAGAAGACAAGCAAAATAATACATGAGTGGCTCTAGATTCCCTCAGTTGTCTATTCTTTTTCCATCTACCTGAGTTTCTTTCCATCTAGCCCTCCTTTATCTTCCTCTTTCCCTCTGCATAATTTGAAATCGTTATTTTTCTTATCCTTCACGCTCATTACTAGCCTTATCTTGTTCTGAGCTTTGGGCCTCCTGCTATTGCTTTTATGGGTCCAGCATTAATTACCCATTCTTGTTTACATGTTCTCTTAATATCTTCTAAAAATCAAAGTTAGTTGATGATGTCTCTGCTCAACCACACATATTTTTTCTAGACAGCTTCACCTGTCCCTTTTCTTGTTCATTTCTTTTTTGTCTTTAGAATTTTGTTCTTAACAGTTTTCCACCCCTCTGACTGACTTCTCCTAAAGAGTATCAGACCATAGGTCAGGCCAATCTTCAGCTGCCAGTTAAATGAAGCACATTAAAATTTCAGAATATACTTGCTGCTGAAATCAGAACTACAAGTGGAAAAAAAAAGTATTTATAGCTCCTGAGGGGAGTATGGAGTCATAGATGGTGTTGGTGGTAGTGGAGGGAGGTCTACCAGTCAGGGAGACCTGCACATCAACAGTAACTGGCTGCAGCTGTCACATTAAGATCTGAGCCATCTTCCCAAAAATCTAACATTTCTAACCCCTAGTTCCTCCATTGTGTATGCTTCACAGGGGGCCAAGCCATTTGTTTTTATAGACTCAAGCTGGAATAGACTATAGAGATGATCTAATCCAACATCTTTATTTTACAGATAAGGAAACTGAGGCTCAGAGGGGTTAAGATAGTGGCCCAAGGTCATGTAAAATTATTGGCAAAGCTGGGACCTCAATCTGTCTCCTTGACTCCAAATTAAATGCTCTTTTCACTATATCATATTTCTTCCCCCCGCCCCAAGCAGCTGAGATGAATAATGGAATCTTTAGACATTGCACACACAACCAGTAGCAGAGCAGCCTCTGCCAAGTCAGGAAACGAAACCTTAGAAATAAGGTTCTAAGCAAAATTAATTAGCAAGCCTTTGTATAGAAATGCTAAATGCTATAAGAGCCCTTACAATAGCATTGCCCAAGGGGTAAGAAACCTCCTGGTTAACTTGGCCTTATGGCCCTCAAGGTTTAGCACCCTAGGAAGCCTACCGTAGTGGACAGCTCTGTGCTAACTCCTAGCACGCTCCCTCTGCCTTTTCACCTGTGATGGTAAGACTATGATAGAACCTTTGGCATTACTTCTGAGGATACCAGGGGTCCAAGTAGATTTGTTAGGTAGCCCAGAAGGGCTTGTGGTTCTGAGTGGGAAGATAGCATAGAGAGATTTCTTATCATCTTACTGTGTTGTGTGCTAGAGGAGAATTAGTGCAAACAATCAGCCCACCACCTTTTCCTTTCCAGCAGAGTTAGCACCAGAACTGGGAAAAGCAGCCAAGCCCTGTCTCACATGAAAAGGATGATCAGGACAGCTCAGCTGCTGCCTAATGGACTATCTGCATGAGAGATTATTGACGAAGAACAGGTGAAATGCCTCTTTACAGTAACACATGCCTTGCTTTCCCGGTGGACAGCCAGAGATCTAATTAGGGAACACGGCAGCTGTCCAGCCTTTCAGTGAAGGATCAACAGTGTACCACCTCCTGAGTGCCAAAGGATTGGGATGGAAGTAGGAGAAAAAGAGGGAGTGGAGTTAAGGGGCCATGATCCACGGGGCTGATTTATTTCCAAAAGGGGACATTTGGGTTTGTCATGTTTTACAGAATGGAGAAGGAGGAAGAGGAAAGGGAGGTGTGGATTGATGAGAGTGCAGGATGACAGAGCGAGGAAGTTGGGAGACTAAAGGCAGAGATATTAAAGAGTTAGTGTCATCTTGGTTCTCAGACTAAAAAGCATATGGTAGAACGGAAGAGCCAGGTGTCTGAAGAATGGGGGATGAGCAGTCAGCCGAAAAGGAGAATGATGAGCAGAGTAGAGAGTCTACTTCTCATTCCATGCAGACCTTCCCTCCTCCAGCTAAGATCTCACAGGGCCAAACATTATACATTTGTATTTCCTCTTACCACGCCACCAGAAGGAACCAACAGGGACAGGGACACTGTGCCCCCAGTGAAAAATGTATTTTTAGCTGGACCTGTCCAGTCTTAGCTTTTGTTAGTTATGAAATACATGCAGCACTTTTTTTTTTGTAACAGAGAACTGAAAACGACGTAGTTTCCATCAATCAAGGAATAGCTGAATAAATTGTGGCATGTGAATGTAATAGAATATTATTATGCAGTTAGAAATGTAGATGAATATAAAGAGTTAGGGAAGATTTATATGAACTGGTGCAGAGTGAAGTAAGCAGATCCAGAAAAAAGTATGCACAATGACTACAATAATGTAAATGAAGAGAACACCAAAAAGAAGCCAAACTGAGTGATTTTAATGATGGGCTTTGGTCCTGAAGAACAGATGAAATATATCTCCCTTTTCAGCAGAGAGGTAAGGGGGGAATATAAGTTGCATACACTGTCAGATGCATTTGCTGTATTGGTAGTTTTTGTTTAACTGTTTCTGTTAAAAAAGAGGATATGATTTTGGGGGGAATATGGGGGCAAAGATCCAGACGTGACATAAAGATAAAAGACATCAACAAAACTTATTTTTAAAAATGTGTTTGTATTCAGAACCAGCCTTACTGAAGACCAAATAGAAGTAATTGCCTTGGGCCTTGCGGGGAGAGATACTGACGGATTTTGTAGTAAGGATGGAGTTAATAATATCACCAACCTCCCAGAATTGTTGTGAGGATCAAAGCAGTTAACTTCACAGACCTTAAAGTGCTCTATAAATGCCAGCTATGATTATGAAAAAGTGTTTTTAATGGAACTTAATCCATTCCTAGCTTTTGTAAGTTATAAAATTTGTTTGAGCAATAGTTTTTGTTGTTATTGTTGTTGGTAGGGCTGAATCTGAAGCCAGAATCCTTGGGTTCAAATTCTGGTTCTGTTTACTTTACGATCTGTGTGGCCTTGGGCAAAATCACTTCGTTTCTTTGGGGCTCAGTCTCTTTCTTTATCTACCAAAATGAGGGTGTAGGTCAGTATAGGCCAAGATCTTCTCCGTTGTGTGTTTATCATCTGTGATCTCTTTTTACTCTGTGGCTGCCCAATTTTTGTTTTTGGGAAGAGGAAAAGGAGAGAAGGGGCAGTGTAAGCTTATTGCCAAAAGTCTTTCTAACAACTCCCTGAGTTTCTCAGTTCTCAGACCCTAAGGGCTTAGAGATAATTTTTTTTTTTGGTTTTTAGTAATAGTTCAGATAATAAAGAATCAATTACATAGCTTAACTTACTATAGATAATCCTAAGGGGAAGAGAAAGATAATAAGATCTTAGATCTAGAGGTCACCTAATCCAAATCCCTCATTTTACAGAGGAGGAAACTGAGTCCCAGTGAGATAAAGTGATTTGCCTGACATCACATAGGCAATAAACATCAGAGACAGGATTTGAACTTAGGTGTTCTGACTCCTGAGCCAGTACTCATACTACAAGGATTGAGGCAGAAGAATTTCCCACCAGCAGTTGCTGATTAAGTCTCTTAGGGAAATGATTTTGCCATGTGTGATAATTAGATATTTACTCAACATGCAAGCATGTTGTAATAATTAAGAGAGTGATCATTTATTATTCCTTAACCTAAACCTGAGGTCAGCACTTCACCCAGGCAGGAGCTATGTCATTATGCCAGGGAATCTTTACAGCCAAAGAAACCATGAGAAAACAGATCCTTTTATACCTGCTTTGACCTTTCGTCTTGACCTTACTCCCTTCATGCCTTCTTTCACCTTTTCATACAGTTAGAAAGTATTCAAAAAATGTATTGCCTGATTGTGCTTCCTTTATCTTCCTGCTCTCATAAGCAAAGAAAGTACTAAACCATCATAGATTGACATTTATTGATTATCTACGGTATATGTAGGAGCCGTTAGATGGTACGCTGGATAGATAGAGAGTGTGGGCCTGGTGTCAGGAAAACTCATCTTCCTGAGTCCAAATCTGGCCTCACACACTTAGTAGCTATGTGACCATGGGCAAGTCACTTAACCCTGTTTGCCATGGTTTCCTCATCTGTAAAATGAGCTGGAGAAGGAAATGGGAAACCACTATCTTTGCCAAGAAAACCCCAAATGGGGTCACGAAGAGTAGGACACAACCGAAAAACAACTCAACAACATTGTATGTGGGACTACTCTATCCACCATGGAGTTTTGGAAACATAAAAAATGCAATTTTAGGTCAAACTAATGATCCTACCAGCTTGGCATCTCTCCATCTCTCCCTGTCTCCCTCCCTCCTTCTTCCCTATCATCCTCCCTTTCTCCCTCCTTCTCTTTCCCTCCTCTTTCTCTCTCTCTGTCTGTCTTGCAGTCTCTGAGAGATGCATTTTGTGGGAGATTCTGATGGTTTTTCTCTATCATATTCTCTATTCATATATTCTACCTTGTTCTCTCTCCTGAGTTCTACTTAACTGCCTTACAAACATTTATCTCCCCCCAACAACATGTCAAATTCAACATGTCCAAAAGTGAGCTCATCTTTTCCCCCGTAAAACCTGTCCTTCCTTCCTTCCAACTTCTCTGCTTCTATTAACAGCAGTGCGAATTTCTCAGTAACTTAGCCCCCAAACATCGGGTCATCTTTGGCTCTTCCCCGTCTTCACCTCCCACATCCAATTAGTTGCCAGGTCCTGTCAATTCTCCTGCAGTAATATCTCTTGCAAAAGCTTTCTTCTTTCTGTTCTCATGGCCACTCTTCTGTCTCAACCCCACATTATCTCTTCCCTAGATAGTTTTAAAATGAGTATTTTATGGATACCTTTTTTACAATAATTTCTGACTATCCCACCCCACCTTGTAACAAAGGAAAGCGGAATTAAAACCAGACAACACTGCAACCATGCCTAGTGCCATATGTACCTTTCAGTACTCCCAAACCCCCACATTTCCTCATCTCTTCTTTGGTTACTTAGGCATTTGTCATAGTTTCCTAATTTATGTTTCTGAAGCCAATCCCTTCCTTATCCAAACCATCTTTCTTACAATTTCTAGATTAATCTTCCTACAGGGAGGAACCCTGAATATTTCTAATTTTTCCTTAATACTTAGATGATGGGGGGCAGGTAGGTGGCGCAGTGAATAGAGCACCAGCCCTGAAGTCAGGAGGACCTGAGTTCAAATCTGCCTTAGACCAAACACTTGACACTTAACTATCTGTATGACCCTAGGCAAGTCACTTAACCCCAATTGCCTAAAAAAAAAAAAACAACTAAAAAAAATACTTGGAGGATGGAGTTATCATCCAAAAATTTTAAATCATCTCTAGCATGTTTGTTTGCACTGGAGGGTAATGAATTCCATGGAATAGAATAGTAACTAGCATTTCTGAGAGCCCTTCAGGGTTTGCAAAGTGCTTTATGTACACGATCTCATTTGAGATTCAAAATAGCCCCGTAAGGTAATCGGTATTATCATCATCATCACAATATTACTATTAATAATACCTATGTAATAATAATACTCAAGTATTGTTACACAGTGTGAGAGGTAGAATTCAAATCCAGTTCTTCTTGACTCCAAGTCAGCTAGGTGGTGCAGTGTGTAAAGAGCATTGAGTCTGGAATCAGGAAGACCTGAGTCCAAATCCAACTTCAGATACTTTCTGGCTGTGTTACTCTAATCAAGTCACTTAACCTATCTCTGTCTTAGTTTCCTCAGCTGTAAAATGGGAATAATACTAGTACCTACATTGAAAGGCCGTTGTGAGGGTCAAATGAGATAATATTTATAAAGTGCTTAGCAGAGTGCCTGGCATTTAGTAGGTGCTTGATAAATGCTTTCTGACTACCCCATGTCAGGCTGCCTCCTATGTATTTAATACTTAACAGTATTAAGAAATACTTAAAGTGTTTCCCTTTATTTATCTGTTCCCTTCAGATCCAAAAGGAATTTCAATGATGTTACAATCTACTGGAAGGGAGAAAGTGAAAGAACTAACCCAGATATTTGGTATAGATAAATAGTTTAAATAGGCTACATCAATGGAGAGGAGTGAATGTGAAGTACAAGTTAGTAGCAAGCAGAGGGGCAGAGGACCTCAACTGGGGCTGTGCACCACAAGTGACCTTTGGGAGCTCCACCCATCCCCAGGAGGGCTGGAGCAGGTATTTAAATCTGCCTTGTGCTGCTCTGCACCCTGGTCAGACCGGCCCAACCCTAGACTGCAGTGGGGCTTATCAGAATAAGGAAGTTGACAGCAGGTAAGCAACTTGGAGCAGCTCAGCTATGGTGTCTCGGCTTTCCTTTCCATGTTCTTTGGTGTGTATGTGAATCTGGCTACTATGTTTTCTGGAGAGGGCAGTCAGGAGCCTGGGTGCGGTGTCTGGGTTTTTCCTGGGTGGCTTGTGTGCTCTCTGAGGTCCTGTAACATTTGAGAGCTGGGAAATAGTGGTTATCTAAGAGGAGATCTGAGCTGGGATGATGAGTCCTGCAGATGGGACTTCATAGCTGTTGATCCGTCCTTCATTTCTGGGCTTGGCCCTCAGTCCCTGAAGAAGGCTAGTCAGTTCTGTGTACTTGTACGTAGAAATGAGGTTTAGATGGGACACGGCCACAGTCAAGTGCTAGGTCATTGTTTAGGTGAATATAACAAACTCAAATGTTACTGTGGTTGACTTCCTTTGCACAGTGGGTATGATATTTCTTGCCTTCTCAATGGGTGGGGGAGGGGATGGAGGGAGGAAGAGAATTTGGAACTTAAAATTTAAAAAAAGAATGGTAAAAAAATAAATAGATAACAGGAGAGAGAGAGAAAAAAAATAGAGCGAGAATGAGAGAGAGAGAGAAATAGAGGCAGAGAGAGAGAAATAGAGACAGAATGAGAGAGAGAGAGAGAGAGATTTTTTTTTATAAAGTCAGTTTTCTCCCAGGAGCCTTAAAGATTAATTGAGTCTTAGGTTAGAGATAAATACCTCACTGAGAAACATCACCCTCTCCACACTTTGTTCCTGGAGCCAGGTACATTAGTCAGTAAGTCAAAGCCTCTTGACGTTTTCCCTGTCCCTCTTTTGCTCTCCCCCAAATAGATTTTCCATATCTGCAGAGACATTAGTGACCTCTTGAATTCCTAATCCAATGTTTCTGCCCTTACCCCTCTTTTCTCAATATTTTTGCTCCCTTACTGGTCTCTTCTACTCTTTTGACTTCAGCTATCACCTTTATGGAGGCAGCTAGATGGCTCAGTGGATAAAACACAGTTAGGAAGACCTGAGTTTAAATCTGGTGTCAGACACTTAATTACTGTGTTTCCTGGGCAAAGTCATTTAACCTCTGCTGGCCTTAAGCCACAAGAAAAGGAAATGGCAAAACCACTCCAGTGTCTATGTCAAGTATGTGTCTGGAAGAGTCAGACCCAAGTGAACAACCATGGTATTTATGCAAATGA